CACTGCGGCCAAGCACACAGCCCTCCACAGTCCGACCCACCATTCAACGGATCACAGTCATCCCTCGGATCATCAACACAGATCTGACCTGGGATATCGCACTCAAAGCCCGCAAAACCACCGCACAGCTTCTCGCTGACACAGATACCCAGCATATCACAAGCAGGGCCACAGGAGCCGGGCGTGAAAGGATCAGTGATGCAAGTCTGGCCTGTAGGACATTCTTGGAGAGGACTTGCGCGACCGCCGCCACAGATCTGGTTGGTGGGGGTAGCTTGACGAGGGTTGACGGGGGTTGGCAAGGGTATGATGCTGGTTGAGAATGTGGAGCTGGCTCTGGGTGGGCAGATCTGTCATATTGTTAGATTGGTTCACGTCTCGCAGTAACAGGTTGGCTTACCTGGGGTACAGGCTTCTCTCCACCACAAAGCTCATAGCACCTTTGTGCAGAAGCATTTAGGCATTCGCATAGCTCAGGCTGTGTCGAGATGCAGTTGACCAGAGGGCATTCGCACTCTGGAGGAGGAATGGTCGCAGCAACAGGCTCTGGCTCTGCTGAGCGAACCTTGTCGGGAATCGGAGGGCAGGTCGATGGAGGTGGTGCGGGCTTGCCACACTTTGCGGCGCACTCGACTTCTGCGTTGTAGAAGCACCAGCAAGATTGGGGCCATTGTGCGGTACAGGCTACGGGCTCGCACTCGCAAGCCTCGTCTTGTGGCTCAGATACAGGCTCTGGGACCGGCTCTGGTTCTGCTTTGCGAGCTTCGATGGGGCGAGGAGGGCAAGTATCAACCGGTGTGGGCTTACCACACTTGTCGGCACATGCTACCGCTGCATCGTAGGCGCACCAACAAGACTCGGGCCAGGATTGAATGCAGAAGACAGGCTCACAAGTACATGTCTCGGACTGTGCCTCGGGTACTGTCTCCGGAACGGGCTCTGGAGCACGAGGTGCAACATCGATACTGCAGTCTTCGTAAATTGGCTCTGGACCACCGCATTCCTCGAAGCATGCTCTAGCGGCGTCGTTGCGACAGTAGCAGCCTTCTGGGAAAGCTAGAGTGCAATCGGCTGGCGGGCACCAAATGCAATTCTGATCTTGTGGCTGTGGTACTGGTTCCGGTACGGGCTCTGCGGCACGAGGTGTGATATCGACGCCACAGTCCTGGTAGGTTGGTTCCTCGCCACCACACTTCTCGAAGCAAGCTTTCTCTCCCTCATTACGGCAAAGACAGCTCTCAGGCCAAGATTGGATGCATACATATCCCTCGCATACACAAATAGGCTCTGGCAATAATGGCGTTGGTGTTGGTGCGGGCTGGGAGTTTACGATGTCGACAGTGCAGTCGTCGTAGGTCGGCTCTTCACCACCGCACTTCTCGAAACACGCTTTCTTTGCGTCGTTGCGGCAGTAGCAGCCCTCGGGGAAAGAAAGAATGCAGATAACATCTTCGCAGACACAAGCCTCATCCTGAGGTACCGGTACTGGCGCAGGTACGGGCTCTGGAATTGGCTCTGGCTCTGGGGCACGAGCTTTGACGGAGTCAATTGGAATACTGCAGTCCTGGTATGTCGGTTCCTCGCCGCCGCATTTCTTGAAGCACGCCGTCTTCGCGTCGTTTTGGCAGTAGCAACCCTCAGGGAATGACAGAATGCAGAAGACATCCTCGCATACACATTCGGTGGGTGTGGGCTCTGGCACGCTGACTGATGTGGATGTCGGTCGTGGCAACCTAGGGCAGTGCTAAACTTGTGATGAGCATTGTAATATGCTTGGATTGGGATCTTAGCTTACCAGAATACGAGGCTTGTATTCGGGACATTTCGCTTGGCAATCGTACTCTCGCTGGTTGAGGCACGCGCATGCTTCCTGTGAAAATCTTCGTTAACGGTCGCTGTTGGCTGATTCGAGAAGAGATTGCATACCAATGCATTATCGCCGGGGCAGTCAGGTGGTGGGCATGTTGCTACACAGCTGTCTAGCGGCGGCGACTCCAGCGCACGCCCAAGGGCGCTGCCGAAAAGAGGAAGAAGGAAGAAGAGAAGCTTCATTGACAACAAGAAGAAGACCACTAAGCAATAAAAATGCAGTGGTACCAGAAGATGCCTTGGAGGTTGAACGTCTAGCAGGTAGAGATCGGACCGGATATATATTCGGAAAGCACGTTGGACGCCCTGAAAGCATACTTGGTCTCACCTACCAGCGTAGTCATCTTACACTCATCGCCAAGGAAGCCTATAAGACATGTCAGAGTCGCAGAGTGGCCTCAGGAGACCAGACGACGCCTTCCGAAGCCACCAAACTTTGTGTTCTGGCGAACACGAGTTCACAGCTGCCATCCAAGCTCTTGGCAGTTCGTCCTAGGCATGCGTGTTCCGCTATGTGATGATGCTGCATTTTTCGTATAAGGAAGTACCCTCCAGCCACTACGTAAGACAACCAACAGTGTCGTCAGACGGGGCGACGTTTTATTTCGGTCAAAAGTCCGGTAATTGCGCGATGATGTTTGGATGTTTAACCTCATGCTAGGGAGCAAGCGCGAAACCGTGACGTGAGACCAAAATTAGCACTAATTAACCTTCCGCGTAACCGCGTAGCATGAATAATGCTATCGATTGCGGGGTGCAGATCATGGTAGAAGACGCCTTCGGATCCAGGCACCGTCACGTTGCATCCTCAGCCACTTGTCATTTGCTTCCTGTCGGGTGGGACGGCATATTGATTGAACGGAGGCTCTTGCGGCTGGAATACGACAGCTCTGTATGGGTATATTAGGTACTGTATATGCGTGCCGGGTATTCAGTCGAGGGTTCCCGGGGTTCCATCTCTCAGCCGGGACGTTGTACGCCCTTCCATCCGTCTTCCTGTCGCGTGGTGATCTGACGTGGTATGGCCGCGAATCACTTGGCCAAGCTGTGCTGATGGTGAGGAATGTCGCAGCAGACGACGAATCAGGTCTGCTGCTCTAGGAGCTCAACGATGAGAGGTTCACGGGTGAACGAATTTGGCAAAAGTGACGGGCGGGTGCGAGAGAATGCGGGTGATTTGAAGCTCAGGGATAACCTACGCGGGCCGCTGACGCCAAGGCGCTAGGCCATCGTTCTTGCCATGAGCCTGGTTGTATTTCCGTACTACGTCAGACGACGCTCGTCTTCACGCGCATCAGTCTTACGAAACGACGCAGTCCAGAAACAACATGCGAAGCTGAGAACCTCGTGTAAGAAGAACTGGTCAATACAACCCCTACGTAATTTTCACTTGGCGGAGCTTCAGCAACTGTAAGGAGTGACTTATCGATTGAGTAGGGTGCGTAAGTTGTCTAAGGCCATGCCAAGTCGTCCCCAAGCGAACCACTCGCTGACGTGTAATTATGTCTATGACCAATGCAAGCTCAGATGCAACGCCGGTGTGCTTCCCAGGGGTATAGGCCTTCAATGCAACCAAGAACCATCATATGAAACCGTAACTCATTAATAGCGAAATCACCTATTTCTGTCAACGTCTTCAGGCGGAGATCGTCGCTGAAGGCCAGTCGTCGTTCGGACCGCGTCGAAGCCGCGCCAGACTACAGTAGAAACAGAAGAAGCTAGCTCACGCAATGAGGGACCCGCTTCGGAAGCTCGCGGGATCTCACCAGAGGTGCGCCGAGAGTTGTCCCCCGACCAGCCGGCTTCAATATCGTCATCACGCGGAGATGGATCGGTGGGTCCAGATCTGGACATGGGTACAGGTCGCGACGCGGAAGGTGACATGTTGCGAGTCTCAGCAGCTTCCGTCTGTACATCTTCTTCGCTGATAGATAGTCGGGGCGAGCGCGTTGGCGATGCTGACTGTAGCCGGTCGTGCCAGCTTCGACTCAAGGAACGTACAACATCGCCTTTGCAGATGGGGCAAGTCCTCCGGCGCGTGACCAGCCAAGGTGTTCTACTCACGTCAGATCGGCTGTGTCGATAGGATGGCAAAAAAGACTTACATGCAATCCGCGTGGAACTCATGGCCACACGGTAAGCTCATGACCTGACTGACACCATCGACGTACTCTTCCAAACAAACAACGCATTCCCGTTGACGGCCACCATAGCGTCTTCTCCACGCCGCCAGCCCAGATTCTCGCTTCTCTTCTTCGCGATCACGAGATGCATGCTGCACGGACGTCGACGTGGCTGGAGTCTCTGACACAGTAGTCGAGCGCGACCGAGACTCGGGAGATCTAGAACGAGTCGCAGAATGCTGAAGTAAAGGAGTAGTAGGTGAAGCAGCGCTGGATGTCGCTGCGGATGAAGAATCGCTTATTGTCTGATAGGTCCTGACAGGCAAACGCTCAACAACGGATTTGGGTGCCCTCCAACGGCGACGTCGTATACGAGATCTAAGAAGAAGAAGGGCGTACACAACTGTCAGAGTGACCAATGGGCTGACTACGAGTACGAGTAGAGTGTCGAAGAAAGGACTGCTTGAGACATTCGTGGGCGTAAGCGTGACCCACAGGCCTTGGTGGGCACTAGCCGCAAGCGAGGATGTTTTGATAGACGCGGAGTTGGCATCGATGATCGAGGTAATGCTCCTAGTGCGCGCACGACTAGATGATGCTGAAGACGCAGTGCTGTATTTAGAACCAGACCACCAGTTCCAAGAGCTCTTCACACCGGTCTTTGCCTTGGCTGGGGTATACTCACCACTGCCAGGCAAGGCATTGCTACCTGCTTTGGTACTCACTGGAGTTACGCTAGCTGTTTTTGTGGATGCACTTGTAGTTGCAGTGAGTGGCAAGAGGTCAGGATCGCGCCAGTCGTGTTCGCCAATGACGAAACCGTCAGCGACTTTGGTGGGGATTGCCGTGGACACTGCCGATTTTGTTCTGATGGGGTTTTGGTCATCTTCCCAATCACTGACCTCGACCCATTCCAGGTCACCGCTATTGGGAAGTCGTCGGCTGCCAGCCTTGGGAGGTTTGTTGCTCAAACCATGGAAAAATGCCCAGAAGAATGAGTCCCAAAAACTAGTGCGCTGTCCCTCCGCAGTCTTCTTTTTGGATGGAAGCGAGTGTTGCTTCCCGTGGGTCGAAGTCTGTACAACTTGTGGCGCTTCTGAAAGAGTCGCATGAGTTTCAGTGTCCTTGACGCTGGCATGAAAGGCCGCAGAATCTGAAAGCATGCCGTCTCCTGGGTAGAGTGAAGACAGGAGATGCGCGGTTGTGTGCGAAGTAAACAGGGACGGGATCGTGATATTAGAGGTGTCACCTTTGGCGTACATACGAACGAGGGCGCCGCCACGCACGTCGTCGCCAACGATAACGGCGACTCCTCCACGCGATTGTGCCCATTGAACTTTGGCCAGGAAACCACAACCCCCTCGCTTGAGGAGTACAACCTTGCCAGCAATCTCAGCACTCTCTTGTAGTGATTGTATATCAGCGTGTTTGCTTCGTGGCAGTATGTGGGTGCTGGAAAGCCCAGGTTGCAGGTGATCGTCCGTTCCATCGTCCGCAACGGCGTCCTTGGTGTTGTCTTCGCTAGGGCCAGGTACTCCCTTTTTCGAAGGCAAATTCCTGTCCAGCGTGGTGTCCTTTGCTTTTCCTTTGGAATAGCCCGATGGCCGTGAAGCGCGCATGAGGTCATCGTTGCCATCTTCCCAGCCCGGAACGTCGCTGCAACCCAGCTCGCCGCCGGCGCCCATGGAGTCATCTCCAAACCCGCTACCGATCCATAGAGAGCCGCTCAAGCCTCCTTTGGGTAGCGCGGGACCGAAGGCAGCGGGTCGGGCGAGGAAGAAGGTCGAATTATCGTCGGTCAAACTAATAATCGCGGACGGCGGGAACAACGAGCTGGGGAACGGTGAAGAGAACATGGCTTTGAAACTGCCTCGGCTTGACGCAACTGAGATGCGTTCCTGTTCTTCATTCTGCGATGTTCCCACGACCATGTATAGGAGGAGCGTGACAGCGACTAGGCTCGTAGACAGCGAAAGCAGTAGGCGGAGAGGGCGCATGCTTGCGGAAGCAGCCGGGCGGCGACAGGAGGAGGTGAAGAAGGGAAGAACAGCAAGTAGTGCTGGATATTTAGGAGTGTAGAGGCATCGACTGAGATCAGGAGACAGACGGGATGTGGTCCTGTCTAGGGTCACGCGGGCGAGTGAAGGGCAGGAAGCGATGGATGATGCGGCAATAAACGGACGTCAAGGTCGTCACTACTCGGGTGGCGCGAGACAACGGACGGCGGACATGTGCAGGAAGAGCTGGCGCAGCGATTACAGCGAGAAACGCGTTGGAGGCAGGCGATAAGGAAGCGCGTGCTCCAGAATGAAAGGCTGGTGGGCGCCCGATGATGTCGTGATGCGAGACCCTGGTGCAATCGGGGCACGGGCACGACGGCCAGCTGCGCGTGCGCGCGATGAGTGCCAAGCATGCCATTCCCCGCACTCGACCATGCTAGAAACGTCAGAAACACCAAACACCACGTCTGCCTTGTCGTAATGGTCTCTGAGTCTGTATCAACTTTCGCGATACAGTGGCGTATGACCAGCGATGCAGTTTCTGGGTCTGCGTACTGCCTCCTCCCGATTTTCGTCCAGAGCGCGCCGACAGGAGACGGCTAGTTTGCAAACATTCTGTAGCTCTCAGAACTCATGTACTAGATTGGCATGAGAATAAGTATCAAACGGCAGAGCTTTGCAGTAGAAGCTCTGGCTTTGCACGAGTAGGTTTACTCACCCTGTGCTCAAGGTACACACGGCGGACATGCTCACCTCGTTGGGTCTGTAATGATTGAGAGCGGAGGTGACCCAGACATGAATAGACAGTGAACAGAGAAAGACCGCCCAGAGCGATGGCAATTTCGATGTCTCCCAGGTAATATTCAATGCTGGACATGTCACGGTCACCCAGACTCTGCTCGCGGGCCGCTCCTTCCTCGTCAATCATCTAGGTCTGCTCGCGGCTTCTGCTTTACGACGAGATCTGTTTCGATCGGAAAGTACCCCGTCAACATCACCGCTACGACTGCCTGCGCTCTCTCCTCGCCCTTCGTGTCGTCACGCTGCTCCCATCTCCTCCCTCTTTCGACTTCCCGCCTATACTCCTCTCATACCTTCAGCTCCTCTTACAACCAGCCCTACTATCAGCTTCCATACCTCTCAGCAGCTCTTTTCCTACTCATATCATTCCTACGTCTCACCTGCTTGGCTGTGAACTTCAGCTCACGAGCCCATCACCTACGACCCACCTTCACGCAAGCGCACATGTATGGAACTCCTTCGTGGCATTCACCAATCCTTAGCTGACACTGTTGACCTCTAGCCTCTCCCTCGGAAAGCGTCATGGTTCTGCCAGGCATGAAGTCGAGATACACTGAAGACCCCAACCGGCCTGGAGAGCCACGTCTCGCTAGTTTCGGATGGCTACCAAACAGAGCTCGCCATCTCTTCATCTCCTTTGCCGGTGAATTCGTTGGCACCTTCCTCTTCCTGTTCTTCGCCTTCGCTGCCACACAGGTCGCCAACAATCTCCGCGGTAATAGACCCATGGACATTGGATCACTGCTGTACATCTCCTTGGCTTTTGGCTTCTCGCTCGCAGTCAACGTTTGGGTCTTCTTTCGCATCAGTGGAGGTCTCTTCAATCCTGCGGTAAGTGCACTGAAGCTCCTTGATAAAAATGGACACGCTGACAAGGTCTAGGTCACGATCGCCATGGGCTTCGTTGGAGCGCTTGGATGGCTGAAAGTCATACTGCTAATCATTGCGCAACTTCTCGGCGCCATTGCTTCCGCTGCAGTGGTATCTGGTCTTTTTCCAGGACCACTATCCGTGAACACGACCCTCAGCAAGGAAACTTCAGTGACGCGAGGCCTTTTCATCGAAATGTTTCTGACATTCATGTTACTGTTGGCCATCTTCATGTTGGCAGCAGAGAAGCACAAGGCGACGTTCGTCGCTCCAATCGGCATCGGTCTTGCTCTCTTCATCGCGGAGCTGGCTGGTATGTACCAACATCGAGCTGCCCAGACACGATGATGCTGACAAACATAGGTGTATACTTCACTGGAGGCTCACTGAACCCAGCTCGGTCTTTCGGACCTGCTGTCGTGACCGGTGTATGGCCTGGACACCACTGGATTTACTGGATTGGACCCCTCTTCGGCGCTATCCTAGCATGCATCTTCTACCGTCTGATGAAGATGCTCGAATACGAGACTGCCAATCCAGGCGCAGACCACGATGGCCGCGAAGCATATCACGAGCATGGAGTTGGCCGAAGCTCTACCCATTATGAGGCCACATCTGGTATGTCTCTGTAATTCTTATAGTGACAATACTGACCCCTCTGCAGCTCGCCAGGCGACCGATGGAACAGACGAGTACGACTTTGCGAAGCAGCTGCGATCCGGCACCAGACACCCTACCATGACCCAGCGTCAAGCAATGCCTTCCTTCGGCACCCTCTCTGCCTCCACAGGCCACACTGAGAAGCCAGCGGCACCGCTGCCGGTACATATGCAGACGCTCGATGGCCACCGATCCGACACCGTCAACCATCCCGAAGATCGTCCTCGCGCCCACCACAACCGCGGCTCGTCGTCGTACGAGGTGACATCCGACTCGAGCTACCGCAATGGACCGAGTGCGGAGTCGGGCAGCTCGGAGTCATAGACCGGCTCGTCGACTAGCTCGAGCTCAGGGTCGCGCCGTTCGCCGAGCGCATAGGATGACAAGCAGCCGAAGAGTATATTCGGTAGCGCCTGGTATTGGCCATGCTGTTTCCTACCACATTTCATACTCCAAGTGTGTTTCTGTCCACATAAGTGAGAAGCTGTAGCTGGGTGTCGCTGCGTTGCGGGCTTGATGGAAGGGACTGGGCATGGTGATGGTTCGCTACCTAGGGGATCTCTTCTATTTCTTTACAGAATGACACAAGATTTGACATCACTGAGTGCGCATTCAGCGAGCCGTGAGTTTTCATTAGTGTGAGTGGCTTACACCGATTGCGAGTACACGCTCATATCCGAGCCCGTTTTGGCTCGGGTCCGGACGCTCATATGGAGCCTGCTTTGGCTCGGATCCGAAGGCAGCATTCGACAGTTCCTGGCAAACTGCCTCATTTAGACTGCGTAGACGTCTATCTTTAACCTTGTTTTAGCCCGGATCCGAAAGCCGGATTTAACGGCTCTCGACAAACTGCCTCATTTGGACTGCGTAGACGTCTTCATCTGAGCTTGCTTTGGCTCGGATCCGAATCACATGCCCAATGTTAGCCTTGGCTTCATTGTACCGCAACCATTGTTCTCGGATCCGAGACCAGCAACCTACGACTTTCGACGAATCGCTTCATGTAGACTGAGTAGATGCCGATCTTTAAGCTTGCTTTGGCTCGGATCCGAAATCAGCAATCGACAGCCTTCGACAGATTGCCTCCTTTGGACTGCGTAAACGTCTATAAGCTTGCGTTGTCTCGGATCCGAAGTCATGGCGAACGAATTACAACTGCAAGGGTGACTCGGATCCGAAACCTACAATCGACGGCTTTCGATGTATTGCCTCATTTGAATTGCGCCGACCAACGAACAAATCCTTTCTGACCCGGAACATGAGTTCCAACAAGCTTCGCTACGCCACTACGTAGAACGCGAATGTCCTTGATGTGTGCTCGACCGAGGACATGGTCTAGGCCGTGCAAAGGTGGATGGTGTCACCAGGTACGAGCGGTCGATCGACCTCCGAACATTCAAGAAGCAGCTATTGCACGGTCCAAAGGTACGCCGATGCGCAAGGCCCTTCTACTGATGGCACCCACCGGATTCAAATTTGCATGGGTATGTCGCAAGTGTTTTACGCCCCTCTTCCCATAGAGTATTGGTGGAGGGGTAATTGACAAAGCGTTACTCTTTCGCCGACTGAGGAGAGTTGATAGAAGATGGTCTACTTCTCCACTCGCAGTAATTGCGGCGATGATGTCGTCAAGGACCTCGCGCTGGGCACAGATCCTCAAGAGCTCATCCTCACTTCCCACATCACGTATCCGATACTCACATGTCATGCGCAACATGGAAAACTTGATTGTATTGCTATCGACTTTAGTATACACAGCCCGTTCCACCAGGTATGCGATTGCGCCGTTGCGCGCATCGGTCGCGAAGGCGGTGTTCATTGCGCCGCAAAGGCTGTCGTCGTTGCGTCGCGTGCGGGGTGCGCGGTATGTATAGGACACCGACCAGTTTATTGAATCAGAGATGCCGTCAAAGCGTCCGTTATGTAACAAGGTGTGTGTGCCGGACGCGGAAGTCATGCAACCACATCCAAATCTACCAATGAACCACTTAAGCCCCCGAAAGGAAGAGTTCAAAGGCGGATGAGGAGAGCTGCTCAGCTGATACACGCTAGGCTTTCATCATCTGGCGGGTTTGTTAGTATTGACGCAAGGGAATTTGCGACAGCAGGGTGACTTACGTGTTATAAACTGGAGGGATAGCGAGAGGAACTGGGTGTGGGCGCCGGAAACCTTTTGAAGCTTCTGCAGCGTGGTCTGGGCGGACGCTAACCTCTTTGGAGCTAGTGGCGGATGCGGCTTGGCGTGTTTTCGAGATCTGGCTGCGCGCTCACTGAAGGCGTCATAATCGCGCTGATATCTGCAAGAGGTCGATCATTCGTCGCGATCAGATATGAGTCTTGCACGCGTCTCACGATGTGTGCTGATACGGGATAATGGCTTGCGCATCTCCTACGCAGAGATTTCGCGGTTTTGTCGAACACCCCATCACGGGATCACGCCCAGTCGTGCAGGCCTATGTCGGGGGCACGCAACGCGAGGCTTCGCGACTTCGCAGACACGCAATCAGGATGAAAATCTGCAAAAGACTCTTGATGACTTCAAGGCCACCAGTATGATCACAACGACATGTTCAATGCCTTCGCTCACCATGATGCAGTTCGACCATCCTCTTGGAAGGACCTCAATGATGAATGGAATTCTAAGATCACTAATAGTCCTCCTGGAG